AGAGTAGATGTAGAGAAAGTTACAAACAGACATATCTACTTGGTTACCAAAAGTAAATACTTTTTTTAACAAAAAGTTACCAAAAATAAGAATTCCAAAAAAAAAAAAAAAAAAAAATAGGAAGGATAACAGCTCAAGTAAAGATCCATAATAAGAAAAACTTGAAAGTAGTCAATAAAATGTAAAGATACTTAAGAAAAACAATTTCATTGATAACATAGAGAACAATGTGAAAAGGACCAGAATAAATATAAAGGCCAATTTACCAACTAATACTTTTCTCACACTTATCCAGTAAGGTAATCATTATTAGTATTATTTTACAGGTGAGCAAACTACGGCTCAGAAAAGTTAGGTACTGTGTCCAAAGTAACACTGAAAGAGGGACAATTGGAACTTAGATACAACTTTTAAAGCCTTCACTTTTCCTGGTTTGTCATGTATACATTGTAGGCAAGAGCTAGTAATCTAATGATGTTAAAAATATTCCAATTCTTCTCAGAAAAATTAAATTTGTTCAATTTAGGTTCTAAGAGGATGAATAAAAATGTGCAATACTACAGGAAGGGGATAAGGTACCCAAACACAGAATGAAGTACTTTATTATTTTCATGCCTCTGACGAAAGAAAAGTCTTTAACAAATCAAACATGATTTGGAATCATTTTTAAATGAGTAATTAGAGTAATTAAATTCATATAACATAGTCCAAGTATATTTACTAGTGGCATATCAGCAGTTGGGTTAACAATATCCCAGTCTATAGTTTTCCAGACCATTTTACTATATATATATATAGTCTAGTTCTAGTATTGGAACAATTTTACAATCAATTTAAAGACATTTTATAAACATTATAATATGTCAAATAATGCTCTTTGCCTAAGATTCACTCAGAAATAAGCAAGTGTTTTTCTTCCCCAAAGTTTTTTTTTTTTTTTTTTTTAAGAAACTCTAGAAGCTGGTAAAAGAAAGAGAGGGAAGAAAGGAAGGAAAGAAAGAAATAGTAGTAATTCTAAATCCTTCAGTTCTGAAGTATTGACCTGCCACTTTGGTAACAGTAAAATGGTTGACCAGTCAGTAGGTTACACATCAATATCTGATTTGTTTCCTCACCCACTGCTGTTTCCTACTATAGCATGACACAACAAATCTAATACTAATTTAAAAAAAAAAAAAGAACATTGATGCTAATAAATATGCTATACTGTTGCATTGTTAGGCGCTGTTGAGTTGTCTCCAACTCATAATGACCTTGCATATAACAGAACACATTGCCTGGTCCTGTATCATCCTCACAATCACTGCTATATTTCAGACCATATTATTGCAGCCACTGTGCCAAATTCTCTCAGTGAGAATCACCTTCTTTTTCACTGATCATCTACTTCACTAAGCATGGTATCCTTTTCCAGCAATTGGTCGCTCCTGATGATGTGTCCAAAGAAAATGAGATGGAATCTCACCATCTGGCTTCGGAGAAGAATTCTGGCTGTACTCCCTCCAAGACAGATTTATTCACTCTTCTTACAGTCAATGGTCTATTCAATATTCTTCACCAATGACATAGTTTCCATGTATCAATTCTTCCATCTTTCTTTATCATTGTCTAGCTTTCACATACAGAGGAGATGATTGAAAAAAAAAATGGCTTGGATCAGGAGCACCTTAGTCATCAAAGTGACATCTTTGTTTTTTAAATATTTTAATATTAAAGAGGTCTTTTGCTACAGATTTAACCAGTGACTAATGTTCTTTGATTCCTTGACTACTGATTCCAGGGACACTGATTGTTGATCTGAGTAGAATGAAATCCTTGGCAACTTCAATTTCTTAATCACTCTTCATGACATTATTTATAGGCCCATTTGTGAGGATTTTCATTTTCTTTATGAGAATGAGCTTAGTACACTACACTAAAGAATCATTTTATGGGTGCCATGACTACTGTGAAAACACTAAACTCATGTAGTCTACAAAGTTTAATTGTTGTTAAAATATTACAAAGTTTAATAAAAATCCAATAATATTTATTAAGACATAGAAAGTAAAAGCTGACAGAAGAATAACCCAACACAACCTGTTATATTATCTGTCGACGTTTTTATTCATGTCCCAAGTGAGAAAATGGGATATAAAATGGAGTGAGATTGTTGTTGTTGTTGCTGTTAGGTGGCATTGATTTGGCTCCGATTCATAGTGACCCTATGTGCAACAGAACTAAACACTCCCTGGTCCTGTGCCAGCCTCACAATCCTTGCTATGCCTGAGCCCATCATTGCAGTCACGGTGTCAATCCATCATATGGAGAACCTTCCCCTGTTTTGCTGACCCTTCACTTTACCAAGTGTATCATCCTTCTCCAGGGAATAGTCCCTTCTGACAACATGACCAAAGTAGGTGAGACAAAATCTGGCCATTCTCACTTCCAAGGAGGATTCCAGCTGCACTTTTTCCAGGATAGATTTATTAGTTTTTCTGGCAGTCCATGATACTTTCAGTATTCCACCAACACAATAACCCAAAAGCATTAACTCTTCTTCTGTCTTCCTTATTCATTGTCCAGGTTTCACATGTTTATGAGGTGATTGAAAATACTATGGCTTGGGTTAGGTGCACCTTAGTTTTCACAGAGACAACTTTGCTCTTCAGTGCAACATGCCATCTGATTTCTGGACTGCTGTTCCCATTAGTGTTGATTGTTGATCCAAGTAACACAAAATATTTAATAGCTTCAATCTTTTCTGTCTTTTTTGTGATGATGCTTATTGGTCCAGTTCTGAAGATTTTCATTTTCTTTATGTTGAGGTATAATCCATACTGCAAATTGTACTCTTTAATCTTCATCAGTAAGTGCTTTAAGTCATCTTCACTTTCAGCAAGCAAGGTTGTGTCATCTGCATGTTGCAGAGTGTTAATGAGTATTCCTCCAATTCTGATGCTGCATTCTTCTTCAGATAGTTCAGCTTCTTGGATTATTTGCTCAGTATACAGATTGAATAAGTATGGTGAAAGGACACAACCATGACTCACTCCCTTCCTGATTATAAACCATGCAGTATCCCCTTATTCTGCTTGAATGACAACTTCCTGGTCTATGTGCGGGTTGCTCATGAGCACAATTAAGTTTTCTGAAATTCCCATTCTTTTCAATGCTAGCCATAATTTGTTATAATCCACACAGTTGAAATTTTTGCATAGTCAATGAAACACAAGTAAACATCTTTCTGGTATTCTTTGCTTTCAGCCAAGTTACACCTGACATCAGCAATGATAACCTTCATCCCACATCCTCCTCAGAATCCAGCTTGCAGTTCTGGAAGTTCCTTGTCAATGTACTACTGCAACCATTTTTTGAATTATCATCAGCAAAATTTTACTTGTGTATGATATAAATGATATTGTTCAATAATTTCCACATTCTTTTGGATCACTTTTCTTTGGAATGGGTACAAATATGGATCTCTTCCAGTCATTTGGCCAGGTAGTTGTCTTCCAAATTTCTTGGCATAGATGAGTAAGTGCCTCCAGTGCAGCATCTGTTTGTTGAAACATATCAATGGATATTCTGTCAATTCCTGGAGCCGTGTTTTTCTCCAGTTCTTCAGTGCAGCTTCAATTTCTTCATTTAACACCATAGATTCTTGATCACATGCCACCTCCTGAAATAGACGAGCATCAACCAATTCTTTTTGGTACAGTGACTCTATGTGCTCCTTCCATCTTCTTTTGATTTTGCCTGTATCATTCAATATTTTGTGCAGAGAATCTTTCAA